TGCATTTTTCAAATTTCGCCTTGGGGCGGAGTTATCTTTTCACAGGGGGGGTAAGTTACACTTTAATAAAAAAATCGATACAGGGCTTTAGAATATCGATACAGTATCGGGAAATGAAACATCGCGATATTTCAGTGTATCGATATTTTCTTATACCTCTAGTAGATATAAAAACAATACATACAAATCAACAAGTTACTTTCATTATAAATTACTAAAAATATGACAAGAAGCTGATTAAAAAGGATAGAAAGTAAAAAATAACTCGGTGATTTTTGAAGTGAAGTTTTATTGTAGTTGGCTCCTTATCAGCTGTGACATCAGTCAGAGAGCACAGAGTGGGGAAATACTGACATCCACCAGGAGCTGAGTAAACATTTGGACTGAATAAAAATGCTGATCAGGCAGATATTCTGCATCGTCTTCATCATACACACACGGTGTGTTTCTGCTCAGCACAGCACACATACACTGATGTAGTAACAAACTAAAGCTGCCATCCTAACGTCTCCAGGTTGAATCATAGTTCTGGAAGAAGAACTGCACCGGTCACTTGTTAGGCCTTGATGAAGACTGTTGTTTTCCTGCAGGACACTTCAGTGATGACGGATGACAATGGCTCTGATACCTCACAGTTCACAGGAAGCACAATCAACCTGCAGGACTTGGAGTAGCCCCCCCTCACCCAACATGTTGCACACTACCTGCTCTGCAGCAGCGATGGTCCTTCATCACTGAGAACTGAAGCAACCCTGGGCTCGCCGATGAAGGGACGAGTCGACTGGACCAGCTGGTTTCTAGATGTTTGCTGCAGAACCAAAGCTGAGAGCAGTGTGGTGTCAGAAGCATCCTGTGTGTTGTGTTGTGTGTTGGTGTGTGTGTTCCATCGTGCCACTGTGTACGCTCCAGTTGCCTTACAGATGCCTCACGCTGGGCTCGCCTTCACTGACTGGAGACATCTGACTTATTTTATAATTTTATTTATTAATTCACGTGGCTTTATAATGGCTGAATCAAACAAATGGATTAAAGAATCAAGTGACACAGATATCTGTATTTATTGTGAAAGAAACTTCTATTTTTACTTTATTTTTTTGATGACAAATCAATGGGAAATGTAACTGGAGATAAAAATAAATCTAAAGAAGGGGTCTACTC